CACAAAGGTGTTTCACCTGATGAGGTACATTGTACAGTTGTTGTTGAGGGGGTTGCTGGGGAGGTTGCTGCTGCTGCTGTTGCTGCTGCTGTTGTTGTTGTTGTTGCTGCTGCTGCTGTTGTTGTTGTTGTTGCTGCTGCATCCTCTGAAGCTGCTCCTGGACGCTTGCAGGTGCCTGTATAGTCACCATGTTTTGGATCTGGTGGGCCTGAATTTGCCCCCCCGTCTGCTGGATCTGGATAGGCAGCTGTAGTTTGATCTGCTGGGGAACTGTGCCACCCTGCTGCTGTGCCTGTGCCTGGATCTGGGCTTGAATCTGGGCAGCGACATGGGGTGGCAGAGCTGACAGTAGCTGGACTGGCTGCTGGAGGCCTGGAACTGTGATGAGCTGATGCCTGATTGGAGACTGGACCTGAAGCTGAGGCTGCGTTTGAACTTGTGTTTGGTTCTGAGGCTGAAACTGGACTTGGAGCTTAGCTTGGACTTGGGGTTGCGTTTGGACCTGAAGCTGCTGCTGGACCTGGGTCTGCTGTGGTGACTGCACTTGAAACTGGGGCTGGGTTTGGACTTGAGTTTGCACCTGTGACTGAGAGTGGACCTGCGGTTGTTGCGGGGCCTGAGGTTGTGGGTGAACCTGGCTCTGTTGCTGGAACTGAACCTGAACCTGGGGATGGAGTTGGGTTTGGCTCTGGGGCTGGAGCTGAGTTTGGGCCTGAGACTGAATCTGGGTTTGAGGTTGGACCTGAGGCTGTTGTGGAGCCTGGGGTTGGGTTTGAGCCTGTGTTTGAAATGGAGCTTGTACCTGGGGATGGAACTGGACCCTTGATTGGAGTTGGGCCTGGGCTGTGGCCTGGACCTGGGGCAAGGTTTGGTTTTGGGACTGAAACTGCACCTGAGGTTGATTTTGAGCAAGGGTCTGTGCTTGGGCTTGGGGTGGTTGCTGAGCTTGTGGCGGTTGCTGAGCTTGTGGCTGAAACTGAACTCGGACTTGGGGGTGGTTTTGGGCTTGTGCTTGGGCCTGGAGATGCGCTTGAGCCTGAATGTGTGGCATTTGTTGGACCTGGCCATAGGGTTGGACCTGAATCTGTGCACAGATTTGGGCTTGATGCTGGGGTTGAAGCTGAGAATGGGTTTGGGGCTGAGGCTGTGTAGATCTCACAGTAGTAACAACAGAAGAGACTGGTAACCCCTTCATATGAACCTGCACTGCTGAGACTGGAATTTGAGACACTTGCTGCATGGATACAACGGTAGGGTGCTGGACTTGTACTTGAGCTTGAGGAGGAAGAGATGCTTGAGGCAGAGGAGTAACGGGTGAATGTGTGGAGACTGATGCAGGGGCAGAGGAGGGTACAGTTGCCAGGGCAGGTGGCTGAACAGGTGCTGCAGCCAGCTGAGCTGGCTGAACTGGAGTCTGAGCCTGAGATGAGGCTGGAGTCCAGACCTGGGGCTGAGCTGCCTTCTGCTCTATCAGAGCTACAACAGGAGGGAGAAGTAAAGAAAAGCAATGTGTAAAAGAAAAAGCCAACCATTGTGTAATGACTAAAACGGGATGGTGTTAATGTGTGTTTGTGAGATATGCGGTGGGTTCTTTACCTGGCACTGACGGTGTTGTAGAGGTGGCTGTGACTGGTGTGACAACAGCATTGGCCACAGCGGCATGGAGCGGAACAGGAGCTGTGGCTTGGATTTGGGTTAGAGCTTTGGCTGGGGACGGGACAGCTAATTGGCTGGACACAACAGCTATGACGGGAGCGGAGACTGGAGCAAGGGCAGGGGTTGGAACTTGGACAGGTGAGGGAAGAGAGGCAGAAACAGGCATCTGAGCCAAATTAGACGGGCCTGAGAGGGGGGCTAAAGCAGGGGCTGGAACAGTAACGTGCATCTGGACAGGGGCTGAGGTTAAGGCTGGAGGAGGGCTGAAGGCGTGTGTGAGCTGTGACTGAGGTGCCACTTGTCCTGGGACAGACAGTGACACTGCGGTTTGGGTTTGCGTAGGGAATGAGCCTGGCATATGGGTGGAGACTTGGTTTTGCACCATGGCTGGGACTGCATTCTGTGCTGGGGTTAGCACAGGTCTTGCCATTTGTGCTGGGACAGAGGTTGGTGTGGAAGATAGAACCTGTGTTGAGGCCTGGGCTGCCATGTGTGGCAGGGCAGGTACAGGAGTGGATATTTGGGGTTGTGTTGGGACTGATAATGGGGTAGCGGTTGAAACTTGGGTTTGTACCGTGGTAGGGCCCAAACGTGGCATTTGTGCTGGAGCTGGAGCTGCAGCTGCAACATGTGTTGGGGCAGGTAAAGGGGCAGCCATTTGGGTTTGGGCTAGGGCTGAAGGAGTCGTCTGGACTTGGGCCAGACCTTGTGTTTGAGGCGTCTGAGCTACGGCAGGCTTTGTAGGGGAAGCAGTAGTGGGTATTGAAGTTGAAGCTAATGAGGATGGGGGCATGGGAGTAAATAGGAAGCGCTGGACCTGACCATTGGGCATGGCGGCCTGCATTAGCTGCTGACCAGGACCGGGGATGACTGTTACACCCTGTGGGATAATTTGCAGCTGTCCCTGCGTCTGGCCCTGACCCTGGATCACCACCGTCAGACCTGGGTTTCCACCCTGCAGAGTTGTAGACAAAAGGAACCTTGCCTTCAGCTAACAGTGATACAATTCGTTCAATGTTCTTTATACAGCACTATTCAAAACGAAGTTATGAGTAAATTAAAACAAAACTTTTTAAAGACTTCAAGTAGAGCTGGGAAGACAAAGGAACGCTGTTTAAGTGGATGCATGCACTTTCACTACCAAAGTAAAATATAACTGTGTGTATTAGTGAGGAAAAGACAAAACAATGTGAGCCCACCTGAGCACCCTGCGTTAGCTGCATGAGCTGTGCCATAGTGAGTTTAACTTGACCCTGCTGTGGTCTGTTGGCTTGGGGGGAAGCTCCAGATGACTGTCCAGGTGCTGTGGTGGCTGCATGAGGTGACGGTGCAACACCTGCTGCTCTCTGAGCTGCACTTGTCTGCCCAGACGCAGGACCAGGCACAGCTAAGGATCCAGGCTGGCTGGGGCCCATCTGGGTCACAGCGTGCTGAGGTTGGCCTGCAGGTGATACAGAGGGATTAAGGAATTTTAAAGTCATTTTGTAAGAAATTAGCCACAAAGGGCTGCAAAATGGAAATGATCCGTTGGGCAGAATACCTTGTTGAGCCGGCGTTGGACCTCTTATCATTGCGGTGCCCACAGAGGTAGATGGGGTAGGTGACTGGCTCATCGGCGTGCCAAGCTGTGTTTGGCCTCCTGCTGTGATGGCCTGGAACACAAAGTCAAAGGTAAAATCATCAATCATCATGCTCAACATTGTCGCTAACTTTAGGTTAAAACTGAGGAGGACTGAGTGAAAGACAAAAGACCTGTTGCTGGGTAGTTGAGGCAGAGGTGGTGGCTCTGAGGTTGATGTTGCCAGTCGTAGGGTGTAGTGTGCTGTATGTCCTAAGGTTTGCAGGGGGACCAGAGGGGAAAATGCTCAGGACTTTCTGCTGGACCACACCTGTTGACAAGAAAGATTACGTAAGGAAAGACGCAAACATGAGTTGGGTACATGAAGTAAAACACGTCAAGGATGTATAGAAGAAGCGAGGCATGCATTTTGTGGGGAAGAAAATCTCTAAAGCAACTGAAAAAGCTTCAATTCACGGGATAACAGTACTGTAGTTTATACACAACTCAGAGAAAAGCTCAGAGAGAAAAAAGCTTTTACGTCTAATAAAAAAAAAGGGAAAAAAAAAAAAAATGGTTGCATCATCCATGCTCAGCGCCAATATTATCACCGGCAGTTTTTGCCTCTCACATGATTTCCATCCATTTTGGCAAGTGTAAGCTCAAACCAGCGGAAATGGATGACACTCGTGCTCCCTACCTCCTTGAGTGGTGGGCATGTTGAGCGTGACAATCTTGCTGTTAGCGGGCAGCGGGAGTTTGGCGGCGAGGACCTGGCCAGCCACAGTCACTGGGCTGCCAGCGATCTGGAAGGCTTGCTCTGAGGTGGTGATGCTGCTAGCCACGGTGGCCACCGAGCCAGTGGAGGCTGCAAGACACACCATGCCACCTGCAGTCACGTGTACCCACAAGGGCCACCACGACAGCCAGTCTACGGCTGTGGTGTCCACCGGAAGGGTTAAGTCAAAAAAAGAGTTTGAAAATTTGGAATTTTGGCTTGCCATGTGTTTAAAATCTAATTATACACAGGCTGCCCATAGCCATTTAGGATATAATGGGATTAAAAAAAATTAAATCTAGTTTTAACAGGATTGAAAGTGGACACCACGAGCCACAATGCCATTTGGGCAAGCCGATCACATTTACCAATGTAGAAAATTGACACACAAAAACGAAGAGTTGTGGAAAGTCATGACGATGATTGACTTCTTGCAAACTGATGGTGGTCAAACGACGGTTTAAAAAAATAAATAAAAATGAAGACAAAAAAAGTCTTGTGACAAAGACCTTTGTCTGTCTGTCTCTAACAGGATGTGACAGATGAGAATCCTTTCTATGGAGGTGTGTAGGTTCAAATCCTCATCGTCCGGCTTACCTGAGCTGTTGCTGGTCTGACCCTGCTTGACCCAGGAAGCAAAAGACTGATGGAAGTTTTTGTCTTGCTGGAAGGAAACTGGAGAACCCAGTTTCGAGGCCAGGACCATCTTGGTTCCAGATGTGACCTGACCAGTCCGCTGGCCGATGGACAATGGGGTGCTGGGAGTGCTGGCTGAAGTGGTGGTGGTTGCTGTTGAGGGAGTGGTGGAAGTTGTACTCGGTCTCTGCTGCTCCAGACGTTTCTAAAACCAAAATGTTCCACAATTTTAGAAATATAGAGAGTTTGTTGATCTCCCAACACATAACTAACATAATTGGTTGTTAGACTTTTATAGACCCTGCAGACACCATGGTGTGCACAGTGTTCCCACCTGCTGGGCAGCCAGTCGGGCCTGTTTCAGCTGATTCTCCAAATGGGCCTTGACATCCTCTGCTGTCCTCAAACTACTGCCAGTCTTGGAAGGATCAAGACCCTGTGACTTCTCCCTCTCTACTCTGTAATACCAAGGAAAAAGGTGACAATCTGGTCAGTGCTGTATCAGCTTATGAAAATTGATTGGACAGAGGAGGCTTGCTGTGCGTTTCTCACCTTTCTGCAAATGCCCTGATCTCCCACAGCTCCAGGTCTTCCTCAAGCACCCATGTCTCCACAGCAATAGGCCCAGTCAGCTTGGCCGGCTCCTGCTTCTTGGGCCTTAAGGCGCTCGATCGCAGGCCTTTCCTTTGTGGAGTGGGGGTTTCTGCTCGCAGGAAAAGAGAAACAAATATTCATTATCCTAGTTGCCAGAACACTTCCAGGAATGGATCTTGCTTTTAATTTCTTACCTTTGGGAGTTTCTCTGTTTCCAAGGGGACAGATAATCTTCCGGATGCAGTATTCAGAGCGGATGCCGTAAGGCCCCACGTCTCTTCGTTTTATAATCTCTGTTGTAATGATGTCTGTTTCTGTGGTTTCTGTGGCAAGAATTAAACATATTAGCAGAATTATTTAACATCAATGCATTGGAAGGTGGAGACCCAATGTGTTTTTAGCAGTAACAAGCAAAGAGATTAACACATGAAGCTGCATAAAATAGATAGGTAGAAATATTTTATTTATCCCCGAAGGGAAAT